CCCCCCAACATGTGACAGGCAACGACGGGGAGGAAACAATGGAGGACGACTGGTGGCACAAAGTACCCCCCTCCAAGACATCTCATCTCTCTTTCTCTCTCTCTCTCTTTCTCTCTCTTAGATGTCTCTCTCTCTCTCTCCAGGGTTGGAAGTGACTTATCCTCTGTGTCCCTGCACACAGTTGTTTCCCCCAATAATAAACAACAAAAGTCAGAGAGACAAAAATCTGACCTCCAAACTGCCTGCAGCACTTCATGATAGACTCTACTGCCTCCACCCAAAGTGTTCACTGAATCACATAGAATGTCTTAAAAAAACACACAGATTAAAAAAATAAAGCTTAAAAACTTCACTTCATCCACAATTGTCGTCCTGGAAAAACAACAACAACAACATAACAACAACAACAACCAGTAACAACACAACAACAACAAACAACAACAACAACAAACAATAACAACAAACAACAACACACCAACAAACAACACACCAACAACAACAACAACCACAACAACAACACATGGGTCAGTATGATGAGAATAAATAGACCAGTGACCAAGGCACGGAGATACACAGACGAGGCTGATGGCATCATGGGACGCCAGGCAAAAACCTTGGCTACACACACACACACACACACACACATACACGTGCACACATACACACACACACACACATACCCACACACAAACACACATGTGAACATGTTATTAACTTACATTAAGCTGTAAATCCTAAACACATTATACACGAACATGCAAACACACGAACACACAAACACACATACACGTAAACACACGTACATGAAAACAAACACACGAACACAGGTACACACAAACACATATACATGAAACAAACACATGTATGAAAACAAACACACAAACACATGTACACACAAACACACGTACATGAAACAAACACAGGTACACACAAACACACGTACATGAAACAAACACAGGTACACACAAACACACGTACATGAAACAAACACAGGTACACACAAACACACGTACATGAAAAAAAGGCGAGAGCGCGGGACCAGACACCCCTCAGTTGGTGGACTCATGGAGTCACTGGTGCCATCTCATAGCTTGCTTCCTTGTCTGGCTTTTCACACAGAAATAAACTACTCATCTACCAAACATAGAAATCATCTCAAAAGATATGACAGATCTGATGAATTTTATCATGTAAGTTGAAACTGGGGAGGGTAACGATGCGGTGGGGGTGTGTGTGGATAAATGGATGATGGGAAATCAAATAAAAACCTGATTGTTTCAGGTACCATTTCATTACACTACATTAGACATAATTTATTTGCATACTTGAAGGAACAATAAAAGGGCACAAATCAGACACAATGTCTAGCTCTTTTCTTTCACGCTCATTAAAACAATTAGGTACAATTCTGCAGAACAAAAATATATTCTCTCAAAAACTGGCACGCTTTTTTGAGAAAAACAAACAGTGAAGAGATTGGCCACGGACTGTTGAGGCATCCAGATCTCTGGACCACAGCCACATTCTCGGACTGTTGAGGTATCGAGATCTCTGGACCACAGCCACATTCTCGGACTGTTGTGGTATCGAGAACTCTGGACCACAGCCACATTCACGGACTGTTGAGGTATCGAGATCTCTGGACCACAGCCACATTCACGGACTGTTGAGGTATCGAGATCTCTGGACCACAGCCACATTCTCTACACAACAAATACAAGAAATATTTCAAGTTTTACTCCAAGATGTTTCCTGCAGGGAAAGTCCCAGTGATCCTTTGACAGACGAGCATTTCCTCCAAGTTGCCCTGTCTGCCCTACTGCTGTCTTTGTACATGTCCCCAGGGAGACAGAGAATAAAATACAATCATATTTGGTGTCAGCACATCCGGTCAAGTCCACGGATAAACTGGGAGAACTTTCCACAGACCTCAGCATCCCCACGGGACCAACTCACAGGTCACAGGCACACTGACGACACTACAACAGACAGACAGACGGACCAACTCACAGGTCACAGACACATTGACGACACTACAACAGACAGACAGACGGACCAACTCACAGGTCACAGACACACTGACGACACTACAACAGACAGACGGACGGACCAACTCACAGGTCACAGACACACTGATGACACTACAACAGACAGACAGACGGACCAACTCACAGGTCACAAGCACACTGACGACACTACAACAAACAGACAAACTAAAGAGAAAAGACAAAGGTCCACAGATGACACAAAAGATTCTGTCACAGGGAACGAACGACAATCTCTGCACCAGCAACATCCACAGACATAGCGGATACATCCAGAGACATAGCGGATACATCCAGAGACATATGGATACACCCAAAGACATCCGGTGACATCCGTTGACCTTCACTTCTTCCTCTTTGACATGCTCGAGCCTGTCTCTGTGACCTGGCAACAAACAAACAACGGAATGTTCTAACCAACAAACAAACAAACAACGGAATGTTCTAACCAACAAACAAACAACGGAATGTTCTAACCAACAAACAAACAAACAACGGAATGTTCTAACCAACAAACAAACAACGGAATGTTCTAACCAACAAACAAACAAACAAC